TTACACCCCCTCCAGACAGGCCCGAGGCGTCATGCTGTTCTGCGCTCTCTTTAATTACACCCCGAAACCGGGACGCGTGACGTATTGCCGTGTGGCGAAAGGGACAAAAAAGCGACCTCGACTTCAAGCTAGAATCGCTGATCTGCACCTCGGTCGTTAATCAACGCCTCGATCGGCGATACTTAATGTTTCCAGAATACATTTTGTGTGTACGAATAGGAATTATCAAAATATTTCAACCGCGCAGCCTTATTTTCTTAGTTTTTATACATTTCTCTCTCTCTCTCTCTCTCTCTCTCTCTCTCTCTCTCTCTCTCTCTCTCTCTCTCTACAACTGATTTACAATAAATTATTCAAAATAAATTTGTAATAACTGCATCTCTCAACGTAAAACAATTTTAAACCTCATTGTTTACAAATAAAACATTTTAAAAGCAATCTTAAATATTATTTTACCAAAAGTTTTATTTATCGAGATTTGAATATGAGTTTTTTCTTGAAAAGTTGTGTTCGAAATTTGTTGATTTGCTGAAATTTTAGAAAGAACATGAAGGATTTATTGGAAGAAAGTAAAGTCCAACGATGGAAGAGCCACTTAAAGCGTTGGCCCGGTCAGTGCTAAATATTTGATCAGAATTCGACTGAAATTGGTTTAAGACGTCAGCCGGTAAGCGAGGGTATGCTCATGGGACGAAGAAAAAAATAGAAAGGTAGAAGGAGAAAGCTCGACGAATGGACGGACAGTTAGTAGTTATACGACGGAGTATTCCCTTGAGCTGAACGGCAAAATGATGTCCAACCAAACAGCTCAGCTGTCTCGGTCACAGCATTCTTCTCTTACTATATCAACGATCTGAATTCACTTTAAAATCTTCTCTCTCTCACTTATTCCCGCTCCCTCTTTTTCTCGCTGGGCTGTAGAAAGCGAATAATAAAGGCATTTCGAAGCAGTCCAGAAATAAAGCCAATTCCGATGCCGTTAGTTTCATACGAGATTTATAGAGATGACGCGACTCAAGAAGGACGCTACTCGCGTCGTTAATAAAAAGTACGTTAATTGTAAAATATGCATCTACACTTATCATTTTATTTAATTCTCATGTCGCGAGGATAAAGTAGGATAGCGATAGTCGTTAAAATACTGACTTTTAAATAAACTTGGTTTTTGTTAACATAATATTTCAACATCTTGAAATCAATTTAGCCGCGATAAGTCATGTAACTTTCTTCAGTTATAACAATAAAGTCCTGTATACTCATTGCCGTTTTCATGCGCGAGTCGTTAGCGGCAGCGAACGAGGGAGGCACAAAGGTCGAATCGCAAAATTCATGCGAATCCACGTGGTGCCAAGTGGGGTGCATTAGCCAAGTTCCCCATTATCCACGCGTGAGAGACCCCTAAATTATCCGGCGCTCGCCTAGCACCGATCTCGCCCACCCTCGTACGTTAGCGAGAAAAAGACGTATGACTGCCTTTCCTCGGGAACACCCCCCGACAGGCTTCGGGGTGAAGTTACAACGCGTGATTTTCGCAATTGCAAAGGAACCTGCTACATATCGATATATTTACGAGATGAATGTTCAGATTGTCGTCATTTTTGTCAAGTCTCGTTTATTGCCCGTAAATTTTCTTTCACAATTTACTTTTTCGATCACGTCATTAATCTGGTAGGTTGATATTGAAAGATGTTACAATACTTTCTGACTAAAGTACCATCAATATTTTGGGAGTGTTGCCAATCTGATTCATTATATCTTCAATATAACAACTAAAAGATTGTAGTTCGTCGGTAGTTTGTTTAATTTGGATTTAAAAAGAATATCAATGACGAAGGATACTGAGTAGAAAATTAAAAAAGATCAAATGAAAAAGAAGAAGAAGCGAATTGAGGACGAGAGAGAGAGAGAGAGAGAGAGAGAGAGAGAGAGAGAGAGAAAGAGAGAGAGAGAGAGAGAGAGAGAGAGAGAAGGAAGAGATTTGTACGTATGTATCTATATAATGGAATAAGTAAGATTGAGAAGGGTGCTAGAATAAGACAACGACAGAAGACAGCGAGAAGAAAAGGGAGAGTCAGAGGAAGAGAGCGAGAGACAGAATCCGAAGAACCGCCAGGAAGATAGAGAACACAAGTTTGGGCTATCTCTCCGAGCACAGTTCCAAGGAGCTTCCTTTAGACTTTAGTGACGTGACGTCGCCTAATACTCTAATCCTTGCAATGGAGGCACCATCGTCCGCCTCGCGTCGTCATGTTCTGTTTAACTATCTTCTTATGACCGCACCACGGTTATAAATTATTAATTAACGAGTACATATTTTTTTTAATTACTGGCATCTACCTTAAAAAATACCTTAAAAAAATCTAATAAATCTTGTTCGACGAATTGAACAGTACAAATTATTGAGAGATTCAGCTATGCTTAAAGATATTGGAAACTGTCTACTACTATGTCTATGTGTGACTCTTAATTACAATCAGTATAAATTAACGTATTCAAAGATCCATATTACATTTATTGCTAAAATTTTCTTTTACAAGCCTTTTATTTAATTTGTATAAATAAAATTAAATTTTTGTGGATATAACGAAAAAATATACGTTGTTGGTATAATTTCCTTAATGTAACTTCTTACTTCGTGATGTAATAAAGTTTTAGATTAAAACATGGTGATGTAATAAGAATTTCTCATCGCGCAAACAGGAAAATGTTACGTGCATACATAATGTGCAAAAATTAAGGAATACTTGATACTTTGAGATATATTAGAGACATTTATAGCAACGTTTGATGGAGATTTTGATGATATCGACGATGTCGATTTGGAAAAATTTAAGCCACATCTACCAAGCTGCTCACCCATACTAGAATTAGACTTTTTAATTATTCCCCACAAACCGTAAGGGACATATAATTGGTAAGTGAACCAGGGCATTAATCCCTAACTCAAAAGGATTTTAGCTTTTTCTTGTGTCGCGTTCCCTTCTTCCCTTGTTCGGCTCGTCCTTACTCAGTTGCACTATCGAAGGCCAGTTTCAAAAGAGCATTGGTCCGCAAAGAAAAGTGATAATGTCTTAAGCCGTCGGTGCGATTTAACTTCTGATTTTGGACGAGGGCACTCCCGCCGTCCTCCTACCGCGGTCCATAGCAAGAGTTCGTCGCTCTAAACTCCCGGCTACGTGGTCTGAGGAGGGTTTAAGGTTTAAGGGAAGCTCTCTCATTCCTTGGGATCCTAGGGAGCTCCGCTAAGCGCTGACGTTGATCCTGCTCTTCTTCTGCCTCCGCTACCTCTAGGAGCTCGGGTTTATCTAATTCCAGTTGTAGGTTCCTCCTATCTGTAAACCTTACAAGCGTACCAAAGGGCGAACGTTGTGCAGTTAAAGGCCTAAAGTCTTACAAGTAATCAGAAAGATTGATAATTTACTAGTTTGAAATATAATTCGTAATTGTTAAGATATATTGCGAACATATTTTTTAGATATCGAATTCAGGGATCTAATTGCAATAGGATGAGCAATATTAATAATGTCTATTATTAGTTATATAATTTACAGCTTGAGAATTTTTACTGTCGAACAAGTTACTATACATATTTTATTTTCGAGGAGTCTTATGAAAGATTTAATGCACGTGCGTTAATAATTATTTATACATTTGAAATTATGTACACTGTATTTCATCACAACATCGAATTCGTAATGACTTTCGAAGTCTATTTGAAGTTCCATTTCACACTTATCGCTTATCAGAAATTCTATACGGAGAAAAATATAAATATGCTGTAAGCAAAGTTATTTCTATTTAAACCAACCAAAATTTCACTTTTTCTTTGAAAATTCAGCTACGTAAAGAACTCGCGAGTTGTGAAGTGAGCAGATCCGCGAGGTCGGGACCATTGTCGCTTGGGCTCCTAAGGTGGCAAAGAGAACCAGGTAGCACGTATATACCGCGACGCGTCAGCCCGAAGGACGGTGGGGGGAGGGGGGTAGTAATATATATATGTATGTACATATAGACGCGAGTGGATATAAGCGAGAGAGGTGTACGAAGCACGTACCTCAACACACTGGGAAAGAGAGAGAATCCTCTAGGTGTGCACCCAGAAACCGCGTATCCCCTTCTCCCCGATAACCGAGGCGGGGGTTGAGGTGAGTGAGGGGGATGTGCAGAAGGGCTGGGAATCGTGCTCCAGCCGAGCTCAAGGGGGTGGACAGTGCGCAGAACCCGCCCCCACCTTTCGCGACGAAGCAGAAGCCGTCGACTGCCCGCGCAAGTCTTCATCCCCTCTGCCGACGACCGACGGAAGATCGCCACCCCCGAACGAACTTAAACATAGCACAGTAGCTCGCGAGCACCCCGAAAGGGCTCATCGCGTACACGAGCCGGACTTGTGTT